CATCGTTAGCAATTTTATTCTTTCTTACTAAAATTTTATGTTGGAAATAACAATTCAAAATTGGAGTAGAAATTCTAAGTTGATTCGGATTTGCTATTTATGATATTTACTTATTTATGATTTAGTTAGGATCTATTAATTAGAGTGGTTTTAATTCTAGTTCAATATGATTTTTACTTTTTTGAATAGCAATTTTACTGGTTATTTTAAATACACATAAAATATTGAATACATAAATATACAAAATATATAAAACTAAAATTTAAGAATATTGAATTTATAAATAAAATATTTCTTTTCAAATTGACATTAGAGCCAGTAATTTCACCACCAAATAACATGTATGACATCAAATATGTTTCCGCTAATTTCTTCTCCTATGTTCAAAAGAGAAAATTATCAATTATGATGAGTGAATATGAAGATATATTTGCAATCTTTGAATCTGTGAGATAGTGTTGAAGAAGATAGTGAACCATCACCATTACCTGCCAACCAATTGTGGCTCAAATAAAAAATCAAAATGAAGAAAAATTAAAAAAATTCAAAGCAATAAATAGTTTATATTTCTCGATATCAGAAAAAATTTTCACCAAAATCATGACATGTGAAACTCTAATAGAAATATGAATTTTCTAAAGGATAAATATTTGAGCAATTAACAGATAAAACAAGTTTTGAACCGTAAAAGACAATTTGAGATTCAAAGGATGAAAGAAACAGAAAGAATTAAAGATGAGAAAATTGTACAAAATAGCAAATATTTAAATCAAAATATGACCACATTTTTATTTATTTGTATTTCAACAAATGTGCAACGAATGTTACACCATTATTGCCATTTAGTTGGGGCCCACACATTAAAAAATGAAAGACTTTCTTTTTTTTTCTTCTCTCCCATTTTCTTTTAATTTCTCTCAAAATCTCTTCTAAATCAATTCTACTCTAATTGGTTAAGGCCCACCCATTTTAAAAAAATAAAAGATTTATTTCTATATAAATTTTTAAATTAAAATTATGTATTAATGGAATTATATATATAATTAAAATTTATATTGGTGAAAACTATATATAATTTTTTTTAAAAAAAACTTATTTGAAGAGAGATTTAAGGAGAAAGTGAAATATATCCAATACAAAGAACATAACATATACTATTATCCAATACAAAATTTTGTTTATACACACGCAAGCGAGCACACTAATACAAAATTGACAAGCCAAACAGAGAATATATACATATACCGTTTACAACTATATACAAAAAATTGACAAATCGAACATAGAACATATACATATGTTGTTTACGACTAATACAAAATTTATTGTATTATGTTTTAAAAAATTGTATACAAATTAAAGGTTAAGAATTCGTAAGCACCAGTAATTTGTAAAAATATAGTTTCTTTTTTATTTTGTATAAATTTTTTTTTTTACATGCCAATGATGAAAAAGACAGAGAAAGAAAGAAATTCTATTACAACATAATGTGTGCGAGTTTAACGATTTTCTTCTTTTTTTGTCAGAGCAATTATCTCATTTTTATTTATTTATCTTAAGATTCAAATCTATACAAAAAACAATTAAACAAAATAACAACTTCATAGAAAATGGAGCGCAATTACACAAACTTAAGTTATAACGTACAAATATGATTTCTATCTTTACTGTACCTAAAATTTGCTCATTAAAGATCATGTTGGCAAACTCACATCAATACCAATAAAATTAAACTGTTTTATAAAAAAATTCGATACTAAAATCATTGAGAAAATTCTTGTAACCTGAAAAGTTTGAGTCCAATATTTCTTTACTTGAAGAATCTATAAATCCCTAAAGAAATTTAGTAAATGATTTGATAAACACTTTGCAAGCACTTAAGCAAATAAGGACAATTAGAGATGAACTGTTGTTGCTTTTGCTGCCAAATTATCAAGTGAATCAATCCAAAAGGATAAATTTCCACCTTACAATATATATAAGAAAAATAATCATGCAGAGGATAATGTTTTATTTAAAAGCACTAGATCCAAGTGTTTTAACTGTAAAAAATTTAATCACCTACAAAAGGATTGCAACTCTAAAGAGATCTAGACAAAAGTGGCACAAGAGAAACAAGAGGAAGAAAATCTTCTCTAATTAAGTGTTGGTGAAAGGTAAAAAAAAAGAAGTTGATGAAAAAGACATCAACGATCGGAGAGAGAGTACTCCAACACTAAAAAAAAACACAAAATGTAAAGGAGTTGATGGAAAGGACATTAACGAGAGTTGGAGAGAGAGTGCTCCAACACCAAAGAAAAAAATTAAAAAGAAAAGGTGTTAGTGGGAAGGACATCAACCATGTAAGTTGGGAGAAATACTCCAATACAACCAAGAAAAAAATATCGTGAGTTGGAGAGAAATTGCTCCAACATTTGGAAGTTGAAGAGAAGGTGTTCGAACACAACCATAAAAAAATAAGAATTAAAGAAAAGTACTCTAACAATTGAAAAATCGAATAGATGTAATCCAACAATTGAAGATTGAAGAGAAATACTTCGATACAACAACAATAATAGGAAAAAAAGAGACAAAAGTATACAACTTTGAATTACGGAGGAATGTTGAAAATAATAATTCAAAGTTGTAGTAGGAATCCTAAATTGATTAGGATTTGTTATATATGATACTTTATTTATGTTTAATTGAGATTGTTAATTAGAGTGGTTCCTAGTTCTAGTTTAATTATAAATAGGGATGTTACTGGTTATTTTCGATACACAGAAAATTATAGAATATAGTAATATACAGAATAAATAGAAGTTTAAGTAAGATTCAAAAACTTTTGAATTTATAAACAAAATATTTTTCTTCAGTTTATTCAGCCCTTTCATAGATTCAATTTCTTCAAGAATCGACTTCAACTCCATCTCTTTGGTTTGTAGATCTTGTTCCATTTCCATGGCCGCTTCTCCCATGATCACTCTTTTTGAAGGTACAATCAGCAAATCTAATGATATATTTTGGGCTGTTTTTTTTTTTTTTGCTTCTAACTCATTTTCTTCTATAAAGTTGTTCGTTTTCTCTTTAAAAAAAAATAAAAAGTATATAAAATGTAATGTAAAATTTGTGTTTTCATGAAGCGAGAGAGAGAAATTTGATATACAAAAATAAATGTTTTAACTCGATTTAATTATATACAAATTATTTTTATATAGATATACAAACACAATATTGATACATATACGTAGTAGTTCATTTATACAGTTATATAACAACTATACAATTGTTATTTTTTATTCAAATCAGATGCTCCATAGAAAACTATGTTTGCTATGGAGCATAAATAACAAAACTGTAGCTATAGAGTGCTAATATAATTTTTTATATTTGTTATTCCTAAAAGTTGCTTGAAATGTCAGTGAGAATGATGTGTAGTCTCTTTTGACAAATCTCTACTAATCTATTTTCTGCTATTGTAATATTTAGTTCTCTGTTGATATGTTAAATCAGTAGCACCAACTTTTCTATTATTGTTTCTTTTGGGAAAAGACATGAATTTCATTTTAAATTTGGGCTGAAAAGTCAGTTACACGCTTATACTATTATGACGATCCATTACACACCTTTACTACTAACAAGTGAATGTAATATCACCTTACGAGGTATAACACCACTCTCGCATTATGTGGTGTATTACACTCGCTGCCACATCAGCGATACGTCAATCAGAAATTATAATTTTTCTTATATCTTTTTTATTTTTTTTCTTTATTAATTAACTTTTTCTATTGTTAGCTATATTTTATATTAATTAGTTTCTAATTAATTAGTAAAATTCTCTAACAATTATATCTTTTTCATTACAAAATTGCACAGAAGAATCTTTGTACAATGGCCGCGAAGAAATTTTTTTGAAATTCGAAATTGATTCGTAAGGTGAAAGAATTTCTTTTGTTCCAAATTGAACCTGAAGAAGACTCCTTTAGTTTCTTTCATTGATTGATCATGTAAATTGAGATTCAATTACAAATATTTTTAGATTCAGACACTTTTTTACTTTTTCTATGTTCTTCATGGAGGTTTCTTAAAAGATAGGAATAATACAAATATAATTTTTTTCCCTTTTCAATTGACCGTTCATCTAGTTTTTTAAAAAATCTCACCATAGTTTCACGACTGAGAACCACCAAACTTTAATTTTACTCTCTGATGACATGAACAAACACAAATCAAAATCCACAAATCTTAAGTCACCGATACTATTTTAATTTCCTGTTAGGGAGGTTTATGAGCAATTTGAAGTAACTTGTTACTACATTGATTTTTGTTACTGATTCATTTAAACTTATTTAGGTGTGAAGAAGATGAGGGTGGGATATGAAGAAGAAAACATGTGGAGAATGAGGTATGAAGAAGAAGAGATGTAGGGGTGAGGTATAAGGAGAATTATGATATTTTAAAACTTTGTTTTTTTACTTTGACGTGCATGATTTATTTTTATTTTATTTTATATTGTCACGTCAATTTTAAAGAGTAAGAAAATTCACTAATAAATAGTATAAGTGTGTAATAGATCATCATGATAGTTTAGATGTGTAACTGACTTTTCGATACAAGTTTAAGCGAAAATCTATGCCTTTTCCCTTGTTTCATTTTCCCTTCTTGTAGACTTGTCTTATCGACACAGATAAAGATCAATGCTTGAATATTAAATTTCTTAATTTATTGCAATTAATTAATTAAAATTTATTTTACTTCATTAGTAATAAATTGTATTAATTCGATATAAATATTTTGTATGAAATTTTTATTCTTATTTGAAGTCTCATAAAAAAAAATTATATTTTTCTATTAAAATGAACGTAATATTCTTAAATAGTCAAATTTTGGTCAAATTTAGGGACACTGTTTAATAAAACATAAATGCAGAACTTCTATTTTTTTGAAAAGAAAATTATGCAAAAATTATTTAATCTTAAATAATTTGTCTGAAAAGTATTAAGAAAAGATATATAATTAATAATTAATACAACAACTGTAAAAGTGACATTGAAGAGCTCACGAATCTGAAGAAATCCCTCTTCTCTAAGAGAATTTCTGATCAATTTACACTTTCTCTATCAGTTTTCTTGTTAATTTAATGGATTTTTCAGAGATATGGGCTATATTTGGACCTGGGGTCGCCGGCGCTGTCTTCGGCGCCGGATGGTGGTTCTGGGTTGACGCCGTTGTTTGTAGCGCCGTCAAAATCTCTTTCCTTCATTATCTTCCAGGTACTTCTCTTTAACTTCCCTCATTTCTTGTGGGTGCGCGTAAATTATTGATTTTTATGGGTTGTTGATATAGGGTTTTACTAAGATGGTTGATTTTTGATATATGGGTTTTGAGTAAGGTTTTTGTTTTCTTCACCTTTTCTGTTATTTGGGATATTGTAGGTATATTTGCGTCTTTGGCTGCTTTGATGTTTAATTGCGTCAGAAAAGAGGATATTGATTACTCACCTTATGATGAAGGAGAGTGGAGGTATGATAATAATGTATTCTATGTGAATGAACTGGTTAGTTGTTGAGAATTGGACTTAAATTTGTTCAAAGATCGACCCCTTTGTTATGGATGTTGATGTTTCATTGGCTTGGATATGATCCTTCTAGCTTCTTGAATAGTAATTTGTATGTCTTGTTCTGATCGTTTCGCCTGAGATAGAGATTACAGAAATTAGTTTGCTATTCAGGATTAATTGTATCACTGTAGTTTAGTTACACTGTAGTGGTCTTATTGACTCAATCAAGTGCAACTTAAAGAAAAGAAGTGCTTTTATTGGTAATTTGAGTATGTTCAATGTATTACAGTTACTTCGACTACACTAGTCCTCCTCGATCTTTTGATTTGCACCTGCAATCAAGTTGAAAGGTTTAGGTGTGAGAGTGGGATGAGAAGGAAGAGAGAGAGAGAGAGAGAGGAGCAACAAAGGTTTCTGAAAATGTCAATTGATCAGCTCTTTTCCCTCCAAGTCTTGATCTAGTGTGCTCCTTTTTTCCTTGTAGTTGGTTACAAACGGCTAGGAATAATCTCTTCCATTTATCACTTCACACACCTTTTGTTAGAGATATCACAAATAACCTCTTGGATTAAAGATTGTCTAATTGGAAAAGAAATTGAGAAAATGATTGGTTGGTGCAATAGAAATTTGACTATCACAACTGCGAGCAAAGGAAATCAAGGTTAATTTGAGTCTTGGAGAAAGTCTTTTAGTCGTGCTGGACTCTTACTGCTCATGCTAGACCATCGGAGGATGATGTAGATGAGCCATTAATTGAGTCCCATCTATAGTAGTTGAACTGTCGAAGAAGATCCTACTAGCTGCGGAAATATAACTTAGAGATTTCACATGATGAGTGGATTCAAAAGATACTATCCAATAGGACAACTGAGGAAGATACTAAAATGGTAACTGCCTCAAAACAGATTAAGCAGGATGTGTTCCCGGCGTTTATTCCTTCACTACTGTATATTGAAGTTGGGGAAAAATATATACTCTGCGAAGGAGTCGATTGCAGAAAATACGTCAAGCTCACCGTGTTCTGATTGGTTTACCATCTTTATTTGTGTCGATAGTTGTGCTAGGAAGTATCTCTTTAATTTTCACATCCTGTGTAATTTTCACAATAGGTGGATCTCCTTAAACTGTTCAACTGTTAAATCCGTGGCTGAAATTTCATAGGACGTCATTATTGGCTCATCAACACCATCTTTCAATGGTCTATCTTGAACTGTAACAGTACTGTGTTTTTCTAGCATGAGTAAGTATGCCAATATAGTATGCAAGCTATCTAAATTATTTTCATTAAAAGCCATTACTTCGTATTTTAAAGCAATGTGAAGTGATCATCATTTTATGAGTGAAGTCATGGGCTTTAAGTAATGATACACTAAGTTGATCTTAATGAGAAGAGACAGTTTTTGAATATCACCTTTGGGGATGGGTTTGTATAGATGTTTATTTTATACTGAATGTTGAATTAGTTACTTTATTTGCGAATTGTACATTTATGTCTCTATTTCCTGTCCCTATAAGTGGTGAAAAGAATAGATGCATTTAGAAGGTACTTCTCGTGGCAATGAGGCACTTATAAGAAGGAAAATCCATCTGGTTAGATTGGAAACTCTCACAGCTAGTAAGAAGAATGGGGGCTTCGATTTTGGCGTTAGGAACTTAAGAATGCAGAATCAAAGGTTACTGAAATGAAAAGACTATGGAGATTTTCAACAGAAGGAGAAGCTATTTGGAAAGATGTAATCAAGGATAACTATGGGATGGAAGGAAGATGAATAACATATGTTGTTCAGAAGTCCTTATGGAGGTAACTGTTTGAAGATTTCCTTCTGCAAAGACAAATGGATAGGCAAAGGTGCCTTGGAAGAACTCTTCCCTAGTATTCATACTTTATGCCGGCAACAAGAAGCAATAGTGGGGGAAGTATGGGCAAACAATGGCTGGAATCTCTTCTACCTTTATAAAAAAAAATAGTGGCTTGAATCTCAGTTTCAGAAGGCAACTCAATGATTTGGTGATTGAAGGACTAAAATAATTTTAAAACACAATTGAGCAATTCAAAGGAGTAACTTTAGGTATACATGCTAAGTTCAAGCTTCATCTACTCCATGAACAAAAGGAAGTAAACAAATGATGCATGCAGCCAGAACTGTGGCGCTAGGTTATTCTCTCATAAAACAAGCATAAAAGCAATTCCAGGTGAATATTACTTCCTTGAAATTTGAAATTCACATGCCCTTAATGCGGAGGAATACAATGTTATCAGTTTCAAAAATAATAATTTGAAATTCACATATATTAGCAGGCAATGGAATTGTAATGCCCACCACCAAAAAGTCCAAATATGCAATAAAGATGGATTCAACTGGAGGGCATATAACTCACATTTTTCTCATGGGCATAATATTTGTTTGGCCCATTGCCTTCATAGTTGCAATGAATAAATAAAAATCAAGTACTGGAACAATGAAACACTAGAACTTCAGTTATCGAAAATTTCTGGTTGAACTTTCCTGTTTCTACGTGTGTGGAGATGTCCCAACACCGAACAGAATTAAATTCAGTTCGGTCAAATTAATGTAAGGCTCATCCTTTTCAAGTTGGACATGCAGCCAAAAAAGCGCCCAGGCCAATTCTTTTCAAGTTTTGCTTATTGTCACTCTCCCGTTATATGTGCAACTGAGTCCTGCCCACTTAAGTGTAGCTTACCCAGCTTTTACGGGTATGGAGTGGTGCTTCAACTTAATCCAGTAAGCTTTCAAGACCCTAACCAGTAACCAATTCATTCCCCCCAACCTGAAGCAACCCGTTCAGAAAATGCTTCACAACAACAAGAGCATGAAGTTGCAGGCTGGAAGAGACAATAACTTTCATTGGGGGCCAGAGTCGCTCTGATCAACAGTGTGCTCAGCGCACTTCTTCCGAAAATATTGGACGGATTGAGACGAAACTTCTCTTACAAAGGCAATAAACAATCTAATTCTTTCTGCCTTGTGAATGGAAAGAAGTCACTCGAGACAAAAGGAAAAGCGGTCTTGGTACTAAAACCTTAAAGAGACATAACGATAGCATGTTGATGAAATGGCATGGGAGATTCAACAAGGAGGTAGATGCACTTTAGAGGAGGGTTTTCGTATAAAAATTACACTTGAGAGTCCCCGGACTACCAAAATCTCAACAATAACTCATGGTACTGGACTGTGGAAGCATATCCGAGGACTGGAGCTACTGGAACAAATTCAAGTCACATCTGGGCTTTATTCTCGGTAATAGGAGGAAAATTAGGTTTTGGGATCACACATGGCTGGTTACGCCCTTCTGAAAGACCAATTCATGGATATGGTCAACTTATCTTCTCATCAAAAGGGAGAAATTGCGATGTTTTGTTCAACACAAGAATGGAATCTTGTTCTAAGAAGAAATATTAATGATTGAGAGCTAGAAAGACTTGGCCAAAAGCGTCAGTTGTTAAGCAGCATAAGACTAGACCACAACAGAGCAGATTCCATCTGTTGAAAAAGCCATCACCTGGGACTCTTTTCAGTATGAGATTATTACCACATGCTAGATTCTAGCATCGATAGGGTCTTTTGTCCCTGGGATAAGATTTGCAGAAATATAGCACCTTTGAAGGTCTCTTGTTTTTCTTGGACAGATGCTATTGAGGCTTGTCTCACACAATCGAACCTTCAAAAGTGGAAGATTCAACTGTGCAGCAGATGTCCACTGTGTGAAGAGCATCGGAAGAAGTTCACTACCCCCTCCTGTGTTGTAGGATCACCATGTTTTTTGTCATTCTAGACATATGCCTAGTTCCATTATTGAGCTATCTCTAGGTTGAAACAGAGAGGGTCTTAGGAAGAAATTTCTGAAAACTTGGAACACCATACGCCAGGTCATTTGGTGGACTATCTAGCTTGAATGAAACTATATAATCTTTGAAGGAAAAAAAAGTAACATGCACAACCTTAAACAGAGTTGTCTTTTTTGGTAGTTTTTTGTTGCAATCTGGTTATCATATATGATGTAGATGGAATGCACAATAGAGAGATTGCACAACCTGTAATTATGCCTATTGAACTGTCTTAGTGCACAAATTTATAGAAGCATTAATTACTTATCTAAAAAAAAAAAACAAGAGCAAGAAGAGAAGGTTTATCAAGGATAGATCTTTAGAAGTCCTATGTCTCCGAGTTTGCTTGATATTCGAAGTTTGTAGACGAACTTATCCGCTGCACACAATAAAATGGAATATCTTCTCAAAGGCCAGGGATGCAAACGTCATATTGATCGAAGAGTTCTATGTCAACATTTGAGGCAGGTGGAGTGGAGCATGGAGGTTGATGTCAATGCAAGCAAGATCAATGAGCACTTCAACTATCCGGCCCTCAACAAAGAAGACTTTGATGAATTTCAAAATGAACTTGATTATGAAGTTGTTCATGCCCCGATATGCAATCTGATGCAAAAGCTTATACGACGCTAACACTTCAAGAGTATAACATGGCACATTAGTAGGACAGTTCATGACATAGAGGACACGAGTTAACTTTGATTGGGTATTTTCTGGACTTATGCCTTGTTTGTATGAGGCTAATGTTCCTTGAGATGAAGTCCTCCCGACTTATGCCATGGACATTCATGTGGAGAAGACCAATCAAGGAGTGAACTATCTAAGGCATAAAAAATAGCTTGTGAGTTATCTAAGGCATCAAAAAGAGCTTTACAATCTTATAAATACAGTTACTTGCACCAAAAATAGAAAAGAACCAGACAATTCATCTTCAACGTTTGTATGGAGCTACGTTTTTCCTTTTTTCTTGAACTTGTAACATAAGAATTTGTATTAGAGCCCGTAGTTAGATAGTACTGAAAAAACCATACTAACAAAAGAAGAAAGAAGCACCAAATACAAATTTGAGATGTTATTTTAAACACACTCTAAAACATCTAGCATTGTTTCAGTGTCTTCTGAATTAGCCTTTGTACACCAAAAGCAGAATAACAACATTCAGTTAAGCTTGATCTTCTGCACATTGCTGCTCCTATCTTTAAAACATCTGGCATTTATCTTTTTTCCAGATGGTCCACTAAATATATGCTGGGATGATTCTCCATCTTTCTCTATTTCTTGCACCAATTCCAGCTTCCTCCTAGCTAAAAAGAGTGTCAACAATCTATCTAGGGATTGTCCATGAGATGCATTTGAGATTGATAAAAATCTTCCACGGCTGGTCAATGACTATGTAGTACAGGAAAAGATGACTAATTGTCTCAGCTTCTATTACACTAATAGCATCTTGAGTATAGTGATATTCCCATCTTTGATAGAGATTTCCATGCTAACCAGCCTCATTAGCTAAAGGCCAAGTGAAACAGGTCACTTTTAAATGCACTTTAACTTTTCAAATGTGCTTCCATGGTTATGTGATGATCCATGGCTAAGCTTAATTTGGACTCTTGTACCCCTCCCTCACCTTGTAAATACCTTTGCTACGTCCATTCCACCCTAAGCAGTTAACTCCACTTTGTGGCCCTTGAAAAGTTCCCAAAAACTTGTAAAAATTAGATAACCTTGGGATCTCCCAATCATTCACATGTCTTTCGAGGATCAAATTCCATCCTTGATGGGTCCATGCCTCAACTACTGTCTTGTGTTGATGTTGGGCCACAGGAAACAATGCAAAAAATAACTTATGTAGTAAGCCCTTGTCTGTCCAAAAAAGAGTCTTGTTGCTGTTGTGAACCTTGACTTGACTTTTAAGAAAAGGCCAGTATGACCTAATAGATCCCGATATGGTTACACCATAATGTGTAGTAACTTTTTTAGAAACCCAATTATCCAGCTCCCCATACTTTGTCTAGATAACACTACTCCAAAAGGCATGGGGCTCGTAAGAGTATCTCCATAACTATTTCGCCTTAATAGCTTTGCTCTGGTTCTTACGGTTCTTGACGCCATCCTACCTTGACTTATACTTCTGATAAGATATTTCCATTTTGACTAAATGAAAACCTCTTCTCTTCTTTCTCCTTATTACCTAGCCCAAGAAAAAAAACTCTTGATTTTTACATCCTGTGCACAATAGCCTGGGGATATGAAAAAGGGACATCATATATTTTGATAGAGCATCTAAGAAAGAAGTTGTTAGGGTCAGTCTACTTCCCAATGAAAAATATTTTGACCTCATCCAGAGAGCTACATTTGTCCACCAAATACAAGCTGGGACAATCCGCCATCTCTATTTCTTATAGGATAATATATCCTCATTGTTCCAACTAGCCCAGACTTCAACTATTCTTCTTGGCCACCTTATTATCCTCTAGTTTATAAAAAAATTTCCATATCTGACCAGCCATTGTCTTTACCCTACTCCCCACTAGGTAACATCTTGGGTGCATATGATAGCCTCTCTTGCTGAGGTTATTGATTGTTAAATACAGCCTTTTTTGTAACAATCATGTGAAGCATGCATCTTTATATGGGATTTTGGCTGTCCATATCATTTTCCATGGCCGGCACCCAATCTGGTAATTTGAGGTGTTAAATTTACCATTAGCTGACTTCATAGAAAGTGGGCCCTGCTTATTTCCTGTCCACTTCATATTATCTTCATTTGTACATGAGCATGAGTCATGATTTTGGGTATAAACGCTTTTCGTTAGGTTTTGTTGCTTCTTTTGAGCAATTATATTATGGTTGCCTGGTCGTATCATCTAAATGGTTTGTTGTCAAGCTCTAATTAGTTATTGTTCTCTTGGAATGAACAGAACGATGCTTGATCACCATAATCTGCATTTCTTATCACTTGTCAAAAAGCTATGAAATTCTTTCATGTTTTTTCTTCCCCGTCCGAGGCATAATGATAGTTATTACTGGTCACATATTGTTGTTATCCGTCCTTGCACATGTTATATCTTTTAATAGATGGATGCTTCAAGGGGTTATCAAAAAATTATAGATTGCTGATTCTATTTGCTTTTTTCCTTGTCATGTTGAATTGCTCAACTGTTTTAATGTTGACAATGCAGGTTGAAGCTGTGGCTATTTATTGCATATGTTGTATCGTTTGTGTCTTTGGCTGCATCAGTTGGTCTATTGATTCAAGATGCGCTGGAAAAATCTGGTCCTTCAGCTTGGACAGGAGTTGCAGGTGTTCTGCAATGTGTGTGTGTCTTAATCAGGTAATTTGCTTAATATTTATTAGGTTTTTCTGCCTTATAGATCATGCGGGTAAGGGTGATTGTTGCATAAAGGTTTTTTACTTCCTAAAAGGTAATTTTTATGCACTATTTTCTGGTTGAGCTTTGTTGTTCATCTACCTGTCTTCTCTGCCTTCTCCTTTTTTCCCCCCTGGCTGTTAACATTTATTTTCGGCCATATTGGTGCTGGAATAGAAGGCAATGGTTTTGAACCTGTCTTACCAAGAATATCTGAGTCAAGTAGGTTTACTAGGTGCTCTCAGTGTAGTGAACCTCTCTTCTCCAGTGTTGCTAGCAAAGTGGAATGTTCAAATTAGAATTCTAAGTAGCTCTCTACTTCTTTTCTTGTCCCATTTAAGAATAAAAAACAATACATCACACATCCTCCGCTTTGTACATTAAAAAGAATACATCACATCTATGTTGTGTCCTGTAGCTCTGCTGGTAAGCCTGCATCTTTTGCAGACATTATGAGAAAAAAGAGATGATGCTTCTGTTCCTTGTTAGCTAACTGTGGGGTTTACTTTTTGACATATTTCAGCGGGCTGGTCTATTGGACATCACACTCAGAATCTTGAGAGGACACTGGATGCCGTCTTACTCGATCCATTCTGTCAAGAAAGAGTTACAGTTTACTTGTATAAATGTGTGTTGGTTGTGCAGTGAGGCTAAGCACCAAATATAAAAACGCTCATCGCTTCTTTCTTATGATAATTATTTAACTTGAAAATTTCATTGGAAAGCTCAAGGAAATATGTCTTGAAGTGGTTTGTTTCAAAAGACTTCAATTAGTATGTCTTCTACTTAAAGCATGTCATGCATTGTATCTTCCATTCACGTTCAAACGTCTTTCAAGATATCCAAATGGTTTTTTCGTCCTCTCCAGAAGTAAAAGATTTAGCTTCAATGGAATTTCAATATTCAGTTGAAGTATTATTAATGAAGAAAAAGGTGTACAAAATATGATATAAATAGTGCAATATTCTTCATTATCCCATTACTAGACTTGATGAATCATTCTTGTAGTTATTATTGTATTTAACTTCTACATTTAATTAAAACAATTGTAATTACCAAACAAGCATTAAGTAATTAGCCTGGGAGCTAGGCTAAAATGCAAGTTATTTTATCATATATACATTGTTTCGATAACAATTTCCAGTGTCAGTCTAGACCACAACATAGCAAGAAGTAGTTTAGTCGTTCAACATTTGAAGTTTAAAACATTTGAGTTTAGCGAATTCAAAATCAGAATCAGTGTTTTTTGGACGATTGAAGTGTACCAAAAACGCTCAATTGAATTCGATGGTGTAATAGGGATGCCATCAAGAATACTTTTATGCCATCTTTACATGTCAAAACATATATGACTACATTATTAAGATTTAATTCACTTTGAACGTTTCAAAAGCAAAACAATTTGAATATTTGCAATGAAATAACAAGATATATTGATATTTACGGAAAAAAAAATTACTTCGAAATCAAATCTTAGAGAAATCTTTCTACTTTCATAATGTCTTTTATTTATTACATATTGCGTTACCTCCTTCCCAGAAATACTATTTGCAATATTTTCCCAAGGCCAAAAACACATTCTCCCTTTACACTCATAAAAAAAGTATCTTAAAAAGTAAAACTTTTAATATCGGATAATGCAAAACATTAATCATACGATGGTAAAATAGTTGTAAAATTTATTGATTAATTAGTTACCAAAAATAAACATCAAGTAATCTGAATATAAATAAAATAAGAACTATTAGTTACCATAAAATAAACATTTAGTAATCTGAATAAATAAAATAAGAAGTATTAGTTACCAAAAATAAACATCAAGTAATCTGAATAAATAAAATAAGAAGTATTAGTTACCATAAAAAGTGAAAAAACACGGTTTCCCCAAATATTTCTTACATTGCATTAAAAAAGGAAGCTTTCTTCCTTATATATACACTTATAATACTACTATTCTTCTTCATTTATCAAATTAACACACATTTTTTTCAGCAATGGCAAGAAATTGCAGTGAAGATGAAAAAATCATCAAATTGTTTGGTTTTGATATCACTACTGCAACAACAACAATTACGATGACAACAACTAGTTCTGCTGCTACAGTAATATCTGAAAAAGATTTCATGGGAAAGAAAATGATCAAGAAAGGAAATCGATGGACAGAGGACGAACAGAGAGCATTCTTGAAAGGATTGGATTTTCACGGAAAAGGAAATTGGACGAACATTGCTAAGGATTTCGTGCCTAGTAGAACGCCGACACAGGTTGCTAGTCATGCTCAGAAGTACTTTGTGAGATTATCGGATGCTAATTCCAATTCGAATGAGAGAAAAAAAAAGCGCAAGAAATCAAGTGTTTTTGATCTTCGTATTGAAAAAACAGAGGATACAGATCAAGCTATGGTTCCATTGGGAAATAATCAAGCAACTCATAATGTGGCAAATTACATGATGAAAAGTGTTCCAACAGTAATGCCTCTTACTTGGGTTTACATATATCCGAATAGTTATCATCATGCCTCTACGTCAATCAGTACTACGACACTCGACAAGCCAATTTCTGGGATTTCTTCTTCTTCTTCTTCTGAGGATGATATTTTGGAGTTGAAGTTGTAGTTAAGAAAATATACACAAGAGTACTTATGCTTTGATGTTTTTTCTTTTTGATTTTTATGGATATATGAAATGAAACCATAGTTAGTTCTTGATTTTTTCAACGTCTTGTTGTATTTCACACCGATATTAAGTGACTATAAATCCATTATAGGAGTGATGACAACTTATCGACTTTTTTTACTTCTAGGTTCGGGACTTAAACGTGAGCCTTTGACATCAGTGACGAGTCTTTTGCTAGAACAATATAAACAGAAAGCAATCTGGAGTATTGAAAAGCAAAAAATATGAAATACAGGTTGTGACCGGAAGTACAAATTATAGGACCACTATGTACCACCTACCTCCAAAATATCTCCGCCAATGTCAACGAGAATCCAAAAGCACGACGATCTTGCACCTTCACACGATCCATAAGAAGCTTGACAATCTGTTCTAAAACGCCAATAGGCTATTGTACATGCTGCAAATGTCATGTCACTTTCTGCTGAAAACGGTGGCAATGCTTTTGGTGAAATGACATTAAGCTGTAGAAGTGATAGGCTAAAAATCAAATATGCTTAGTTGTAAATTTATATAACTCTATAGGAAAAATTGTTCCACAAGAAAGAAGGACCAGTTTTGAGCTCATTAATTAAATTGTTCCACGTTTCCATGCTTCAGAAGGATCTACCAGATGAGTCTCATGTGATTTCACTTTATTTTATAGTATAGCTATCATAGATAGGCAGGTTCAAGGTCATGCAGTGAAAACACCGTTCGATCAGGAGACAACTTGGGAGACAGAATCAAATATGTGTGCCCGATAACCTCAGCTTTTCAAAGCTTCAGACACTTTTTTTTTTTTTTTACATTATGTTCGAGGACAAACCTTGAAGGTCATTTTTTTTAATCTTTTTTTGAAAATCACCGTTTTACCCCTCGAGATAGTTGCCCATGTTATATTTGATCAGTTTACAAAGTTGGTTTTGAAATTTGATTAAAAAGTCGTGAGTTTTGGAAGTTTTGGAGTTTTGAAGACTTAAAGTTATTGAAAGTGGTTTTTGGTCAAAATCGTAGCTACGAGCATGAGAATGGAATTCAGTCAGTTCCATCAACTTTGGAATGCAGAATTTGGTTTAGGAGTGTTGTCGTTTTTCAGTTTCAGAGTTGTTATGTGGATTTGAGCCCTTGAGTTGCAAGCGTAATTAAGCCAAAAGTTGACTTTGGTCAACATTCAGAATTGAGACGCTTGGATTGAATTTTCATCAATTCCATTGGATTTGTGGAATGATTTTAGGCCTATGCGAGGTTCTAGTTGAATTTTCAGAGGTCCCAAGGGTAGTTTGGTATCTTGAGTTAAATCTTGACAATGAAGGTTGGATGTCATGTCCCGAGCCTACACCCTGGGCAGTACTAGCACTCGAAGACCATTGTTGATCCCAAGCGAATCCTTGGCGCGACTTACTTACTCAGCGGAAGACTTAATTAAAACATCAATACAAGGATTAAAATGCGCTTATTCAATTGTTTAAAAGATAACTTTAGAACGTTTTTAACGATAAAAATTCAACTTAGCCAAAACAACTCAAGTCTTAATACATAATAAATGACAATGTAAAGACAACTGCTAATTGTATATCTATGAAGCCTCTAATAATTGAGATGGATGTCGGGACAAGATCCCCGTTCATCCTAACAATTGAAAACTACTGAAGTAAATAGAAAAGGAGCTCTTTGGAAAGTAGGGAGGCTCACCAACTGACTCTGAGTGCTCAACCTGATCAACGTTGTACTGAACGCTGATCTTGGTTACCTGCGTCTGCATCAAAATATGATGCAGGCCAAGTGACATCAATACATTGAATGTATGAGCATGCAATTTGGAATGCTAAAGATAACTTAAGCTTACAAAGAATATGAGAGAAATATTTAACTGGATCAACTCAACTCAACATAACTGAACTGATTTCAATATAAAGCAGCGTAAATAAATAAAATATAACAAAACGCTTTAAAAAATGGTTTTAAACTTTGTGTATTTAGAAATACAATAGTAACTCTGTATGTATGCAAACATACAATATGAACTCTGTTCGTTTATGAAAATACAAATATTTCTGATGTATATAAAAATATAAAACACTGTTTGGGAATTTTTTTAACCTACAACCATCACGTAAGAGTTATTGTCATAATACAATGATTTCCCTCATGTTGCCAGAACATCCTATACCTTGCCAAGGGTATAGAACCTGAACTACTAAGTGGATCTACTAGTCTATGCTAAAAAACACTAAAGGAATTATCTAAAAGATGACCCTTTTCTACCCATGATGGCTACATGGTTTATGAGTGCTGTGAGTTGTTTGAACTCTCTCACATATCGGTGCTCAATACTACTCTTAGAATATGATAGTAGCTCTTGTGTATAAAAACATAACTTCCTTATTTGGTTTGAGATAATTGCTCAAAAACTTAGCTTAAAGGTTGTCTTGGAAATCTCAGTTTCCGCTCTTGCTTAAATATGAAAGTATTTACTATTAACTGAAAAGCTAGCTCAATGACTCTTTTGGAAATCAAAATTTCCTCTTTACTAAAAAACTAGCTCAAAGGCTCTTTAGGAAACAAAGTTTCCTCTTTACTGATAAACTAGCTCAAAGGCTCTTTTTGAAATAAAAGTTTCCTTTCTTCATTAAATGTGAAAACATTTTTAAACTCTGGGGAATGCGTAGTCCCCATATAATCTTTTGAAGACATGAACTTTAAACCTTGCTTTTTTACTCTTTACTCAACTTAAAACTCAAGTCTTATAAAAAAGTCAAAATATTTGTAATAGATTTTTGAAAACTTGATGAAGTTTTCTTGACTTGACTCTTAACTTCTTTTGACTTGACTTGACTCCTAACTGATCCTTGAATTGAATTATGGACTTAAGGATTGAGATTTGTGATAGGAAAGATCCTGTGATGTCTAGGAATGATTTTAGATAGCTAAACATGAGAAAAGATAAAAATCTCATTGTTTGAGGGTGGGTCTGCGATGCAGAGAAGCATTTAAAGTTTGATTTTTAAAATAAATTTTGAGGCAGAACGGTTCATGAATTCCGCGACGTGAAACATTTTCCCCCAAAACTAGGGACTAGCTTTGCGACTCGGAGACACTGCCAAAATTTTGATCGACGAAATTTCTTCTTCGTTTTCCAGCTCTAAACCCTCTAAACTCCATGAGTTCTTTTCCAAACACTTAAAATTGATTATATATTCAAAGTACATCAGATTCTACTTATATTCAAACCTAAAATCATGGAGTCGGATCAAACAACTCCTCAACAATTTTAACAAATCAAAAACTTAATAGAACTTTAACAAATGAAACCCATCAAGAACTCAATTTCTAAGTTTTTTCAAGAACTTAAATTCGCTGAAATATATCATGATTGACGTGTGGGTGAACTAATCCAACGCTGTGTGAATTCACATACCTTGTAGGGACCCCCCCGATGAAATCCACAAGATAATCTCGATGAATCTTGAACGTTCTTTTCCTTTCTCCAAGCCCTAGTGTGACATTCACTTTTCTAAAACTGACTAAAATATGAATTTACCACAATTAAACTCCTAAAACCGAATAAGGATAAATAGGTTAGGAAAAAACTAAATTACCCTTCAAAAATTCGGATTTAGACTTTCCTTAATCCAACAATCCCACTTCCAAAGGGCATATCTTACTCATACAAGTTCAGAATCGCGTAAACTTGGCCGTTTGGGAAGATGATTCCAAAAATTGTCCAACATATGTGGAAGTTCTCCTAGCTCATCTTGAACTAGAAGTGATGACCGTTTGAAGTTGACCAAAAATCATTATTTTTAACTTAAGTAATTTTCTAAATTTTTAATTATTTCCATAAATGACTATTTTCAGTTCCTAGCTATTTCGAATTGCAAGATGTTACCGTCACGACCCAAAACGAGCCGCGAGTGGCACCCACACTCACCCTCCTATGTGAGCGAACCAACCAATATAAAACCCCAACATTTCAACCATAATATAACCAATAAATAACTTCTAAGATTTAATACTTATTATTCCCCAAAATCTGGAAGTCATCATCACAAGAACATCTATCCTCAAATTACTAAATCTAAGAGTATCTAAGAAGCTAAAATAAGTAAACAGATGGTCGATGTCCGAACTTCAAGGACATAAAGACATGAATGAGAGAGAATCTAGTCCAAGCTAGGAACAATAGCTCACGCTGAAATCTGATATGCTGAAGACTGGCTAGAGTTGCGGACGAGTCGAAGTCGATAGCACGTTTGCTGCACTCCACAAATAACAAAGAAGAAAATTACAAGTAGGGGTCAGTACAAGGCACAAGTACTGAGTAGGTATCATCGGCCAACTCAAAATAATATATATCAGCTAATAACATAAAATCAACTACAATACTCAACAGATAACAACAACAAGTACCATAACAATTTGGCCACAACCCAAGCACATCTATGAGGACTCACGCCTCCATACCATACTCGTTTGGGAATAGGTTCTTTAAATTTGAGTATATTAACATAATTCAAGATTCATTCTTTTTCCTATCCTGGTGTCGGAACGTGACACTCCGATCCTCTACTACTATCCTGGTGTCGGAATGTGACACCCGATCCTCTACTATCCTGGTGTCGGAACGTGACACCCGATCCACTACTACTATCCTGGTGTCGGAACGTGACACCCGATCCAATACTACTATCCTGGTGTCGGAACGTGACACCCGATCCTTTACTATCCTCGTGTCGGAACGTGACACCCGATCCACTACTACTATCCTAGTGTCGGAACGTGACACCCGATCCACTACTACTATCCTGGTGTCGGAACGTGACACCCGATCTACTACTACTATCCTGGTGTCGAAACGTGACACCCGATCCACTACTACTATCCTGGTGTTGGAACGTGACACCCGATCCATTAACCTCATTCTTTTAGTTCATCAAGCCTTCTTTTATACCAAGGCATCATCATTAACAGAGAGGGTTTTAGGTCTAAGCTTCACAACCTCATCTTTCCAACCCATTACAATTACATAATCACATCATGCAAGCACACAATTAAGCATATAGAAGACTTTACAATACTACCCAATACATATCATTCGCTCTTAAGAGTTTACTATGAAATAACATAAACCATAACCTACTTCCACCGAAGAATTGTGATCAAGAAAGCTATTCCTCAAAGCCTCTGCTTTCCTCTTCGCTTCTCTCTGTTTCTCGCTCGTTATCCCTCTCTTTCTGTCTCTTTCTGATTTTTTCCTTATTCAAACTCTTTTTCTTTTACCCTAATTATCATATAATTAAGTATAAAAGATGGTAAAAGTAACCCACTGTTTATTTCAAGGTTATCACCTTTAACCCCCAAGTAATTGAATTATTAACATTAACCCACTAACTTTATAATTATAAGCAGGAATAGTCTAAAAATCCCCTTAAAAATTTTAACAGAAATCCGACCCATTCAGGGTTACGCAGTCTGTGACGGGCCGTCGTGCCTGCGACGGTCTGTCCTGCTGAGTCGTCACAGAGTTCAGAGACTGAATTTTACTAAAGGGCCTGTGACGGTCCGTCGTGCCCATGACGGTCCGTCCTGCCATGTCATCGCAAAGTTCAGAGAGTTGTTCTCAGCACCTAATTTTTCAGAATTCTAAGTTTTTTGGAATGACACACCCTAGACGGTCCGTCGTGCCCATGACGATCCGTCGTGGGATCCGTCGACCCAGACATTTTTTACCAAAAATACTCTACTGCTCTAAACGACTAAACAGGTCGTTACAGTTACATTGAAGCTGTGGCAATTTATTACATATGTTGTATCCTTTAGTGTCTTTGGCTGCATTACTTGATCTGTTACTTGATCTGTTGATACAAGATGCACTGGGAAATATGTCTTTAAGTGGTTTGTTTCAAAAGACTTTGACTATTATAGTTTTTACTTAAAGCATATCATGCACCGTGTCATTAATGATGCATGCATAACCAATTATTGGATCGGATTTCACATTTTGATAGGATAACAGTTTGAGTGGGTTCCATGAGAGGGCCATTGACTTGTATTATATGTATAAAGGATTGTATATTTGATAATGTGGAATTGGGCATGTTTCCTAAATGGATTAGTGGATTGTACTTATGTTCTTATACGTGGGACTTGCAATGTTGTAAGTTAATTGGAGATACCTGGTTAGGTAATGAACTATGGATGGTAGAGTCTCAATTTGGATGTAGTATGGTAAGGAGTAATTAAGGGGCATGGTGCTAGCTTTGTTATTGAGAATGAGATTATGGGTATTATTCTCGAGGTAAGGGGATGGTCTCATGAAGGGGATAGTAGTCCTTGATAGGTGTAATACAGGCTTATAAGTGAGTGTAGATGGGAATGGAGTGTAGGATTATTTCGTGAGTGGTTGGTCAGGTTGGTAATGTCAATTATCCAGAATAGGTAAGGGTAGGATAAATATAAAGGCCGAGAAGCGAATAGTCTTATCACATGTTTTTCACTGGCTGATTTCTTGTATTATGCGGTGGGTATCGGGTTGACCGATGATGCCTACAAGTACGTATGTTTTGTACTGATACTACTTTTGCTGTGTCTTTTGACACAGTCTGTATGCAGGATCAATGATGTCTCATAGGTAAAGACGAATATAATCTCCAATTGCTCTCGTATTTCCTTCCTTGTGGTGTGACTTGTGTCTTTTACTTTTGTTATACCCTATACTGTCAGTAGCTCTTGTACCTGTTTATACTAGATACCTCGGAATATTATTGTTTTTACAAACTCTTACTGATAAATCAACTTAAATTCTTTCTATTTTTAGTTTTCCAAAATCTTTCGCATGTTTTAAATGGTTGGAAATTAATTCTCCTACAATGGTGTTAGTATGTAGGTGCCCGCACCGCCTGGTGAGTTGGATCGTGACAAATAATGATTAATATTTTTTCATATTTACTTTATGTTCATTTGACCAGGAGTCAAAAATCGACAGTTAATATCTTTCTATATTTACTTTATTTTCATTTGAATGAATCAAAATTTAAAAAAAAATAATACCTCTCTAAATTTACTTTAATTTTCATTTGACCATTATCAAAAATCAAATAATAATTAATATTTTTCTATATTTACTTTATTTTCATTTGACTAGGAGTCAAAAACAGAATAATAATTAATATCTTTTTATATTTACTTTATTTTCATTTGAATACGAGTCAAAAATAAAAAGTAATTAATATCTTTTTACATTTACTTTATTTTTCATTTGACGATGATTTAAAATAAAATAATAATTAGTGTATTTCTATATTTACTTTATTTTCCTTTCACCATGAGTCAAAAGTCGAATAATAATTAATATCTTTCTGTATTTACTTTATTTTCAAATGACTATAAGTCAAAAATCAAAAGGTAAATTAATTTCTTTCTATATTTACTTTAATTTTATTTGACAATGAGTCAAAACCCAAATAATAATTAATATCCTTCCAGATTTACTTTATTTTCATTTTACCATGAGTCAAAAGCAGAATAATAATTAATATCTTCCTATATTTACAACCCATTTCTTGCCCAATTTTGTCACCCGATTCTTATCTATAGGCCTATAAATTCTAGCCCCAACACATATTACAGTAAGTGGCTAGTCTTGTTTGTTCATCTCCAAATTATTAGTTATACTTAGAATAACTTCGTGAGATTATTGGATACTCATTCCAATAATTTGTCAACACTAAAAAAAAGTTGTTGTAGAAGAAGAAGAATCTGGAGAAAGCTATGGACAAATTGAGAGAAGAAATTGTTAAAATGTCCAACAGTGAACCAAATGCGTCATTGTCAGAGTCACATAATTCAATTCTTCGACAACACCTTGATATTATTATGTCTGGTCTTCAGACTACCCCCGATCATCCTCCTTACGCTTGGATGATTGAACAAGCATTGCAGGAATTGGACGAAGAAGAGGGCTCTGATGAAGACTCGATATCTGAGTTTATCATAAAAAATAATGACAGTTTGCCAAGGGCTCATAAGATAATGCTGAAACATCTTCTGGAGAAGATGTGTGAAAGGGGGGAAATTGTTATGATTGATGAAGGATGGTTTTTCCTTCCTGGTGAAAGCAAACACTTGAATTCAAAGAGTAAAGGAAAGAGCAAGAGAAGGGAGAGTTCGTCAAATACACAAAAGAAGTAGCAGCAAAAGGAAAAAGAGGAGGATTTGGAGCAACCAAAAAAACAGGGTCGTGGGAAGCTTGCTAAGAAAAAGGAAGGTGGGGCCAAAAAAGGTGATGGTACAACTTCAGCATTTTCAACAAAGGAGACAGACGATCAGCATGAGAGGGATCTCAAGGTCCAGGAAGATGGGGTTGATCCTAGTGATGTACTTCTGAAGGACTTGAGATTGTCAAGAAGTAGAAAAACGATCAAGGACTAGGAAGGTGTTGGAAGGCACAATAAAGTGTTGGCAAATACATCTTTGTTGTTTGTATTTCTCTATATACAATATTGTAATTCGAACTAGTAGTGTTAGTTATTAAAAAGAAGCTATAGTATTATTTACTAGTCGATTTTAGTTTTCTTTTCTGTAAGTTATATATGCTCTATAGCATAAAAATTGTGTACTCTCTACATGCTTTGCTTATTTATCATATGTTGTAGTCTCAAAAAAAAAGGGATACTCATTCCAATTCAAATGAGAGAAAAAACACAATAAATGAAGTGTTTTCTATATTCATCTTGGTTTTTTATCCCTTTTTCGCTCATTATAATTAGAATTAAAATTTAATAATCTCACGAAGATTTTCTTGGTATGACTAGCAACTTTCATTGATGTTTTACAAGGCAAGAATTTTTTTGTAATCTTAGTCCAATTACTTTTTCCATGATAATTCAATCCTTTGAAGAATGATTTGTGTTCATTCTCTAGCCATGGATTTCCATTCTTCAATTGTGTCATTATGCCTACATTGCTATTTTTCTCTCTCTTAATTTGAGATTACAAGAATAATAGTGTCATTTTCACTTTTCCAAATATTTAAGGGATAATGTACAAGTATTCCTCAACCTTATACTATAATAAGGTTCTATTGCCCCCCTGAACTTATTTTATTAATAATTTTATACTCTTTTTTGGCCTACGTGGGTCCAACGCTGGTTGACTTTTTGTATTTCACGTAAAAACTAATTTGTATTTATTATAGTTCAGTATAAATAAGGGAAAATATCTTTGGGATAAAGGAAGATATTTCAAATTATTTATGGCAAGAAGGTAAAGGAGTATGACTATACTAACTATAATTTACCTTTTTTCTACTTTGTTATAATATCCCAAAATATTATATGATAAATACTGAAAATGGTGAAAATATTATTTGAGAAATTTCACAAAACTTCCTGAAAAAATATTTTTTTGGAGGGAAATGCACACATCTCGTATTTCCATTAGTATTTTCTCGTTACGAATTGTCAGATAACTTATTTTAATATGGACAGGAGATCTCAGAGAGGAGTTCTTATGTTTGATCGTCTTGACACAAGGAAAAAATTTTGGCCAAAGATTTTGCTACAAAGTGTTGGTACGGGGAGAGTGAACGATTAACACAAAGCTTAATCGAGCTTGCCCATACTCATGCTCGAACTACAATTTTCATCAATGAGATTGATTCTCTTAGTAGTGCCAGAGGGTAAGTGAATAGAATTGTCAAGATATCAATCTCATCAATGAAAATTGTTGTTGGAGCATTAGTACGGGCAAACTCAAATAAGCATTGTGTTAATCGTTTACTCTATCCCTGCAATTTTCCATACAACAAACTACAAGAAATATTCATAAATATTGTCCCACACTCTGTAGCAATATCTTTGGCCAATTGTGTTTTTCCTATGCCAGGAGATCCAAGTAGAAGAATTCCTCTCCAATGATCTCCTATCACTGTAAATAATTGATATTCAATGTTACAACATGTTACATGACAGTTTGTTATGAGGAAAAATTAAAGGGAATATGAGGTCTGTATGGCATTTCCCTCCAAGAAAAATATTTTTAGAAGAATGCATAATAATGTGAAAAAGTGTCTGTTGGAGAGAGTGATATGCAGTTCAAATTTAAGATAATTATATAAATAAAATGACACCATTTTCTTCCTTGTGGGTTAATGATGAAAACTATGTTGTTGAAATATAATTTCCATGGACCAAACATGCATGCACTCATCATTCATTAGTATGCTATTATTTCAGAATCAACTTTCTGGATTTAGAAGATCCTCTTTCCCACACTAAGTAGTTAGAAAATATCATCCCATTAAGCCCCTGGATTTGTGTCCATAATATCCTTTTTAAGCTGAGTAAACCAATTCAGGAAGAGGTTGTCACAATCCAAAATTAGACATGATGACACTTTTTTATGTCCACCAAGACAAGTAAGCCTCAACACAACGAAAAGAAAAAAAAAGAAAGATAAAGAAAGAACAAAATAAAAGCGAAAAACTTATTCATTCTATTCACACCCCAAAATCTAGTTGTCACATGTACAAGCCACTAATACATAAAGTGTGGAATAAAGAAATAAGTACAAGTCTCAAGTTTTAACCTCTCAAATAGAACAAAGCATAAAAAAAATGACTATAGGTCCCGTTGGAATGACAAACAACTACCTATCAATAGTTCTTCAACAAGCTTCAGAAGTAGAAGCACAATCACAGAATGCCGGGCTCATAAACTACACATTGTAGAAGCAAAGAGTGAGTACGAACAACACAATAACATTTCTACAATACCCATATCACAAGGTTCAATAATCACCATCCAATAGTCACAGTTCAACAACCAACATGTGTCAAGTAAGTCAATCTCAATGCGAAGTTGATCAATCACAAGTAACAAGAGCATCAATCATGGTTCACAAGTAGGTCAAACATAAGCATAAAAATGCATTAAATCACAGTAATCAAATTATTGCTGGAACAATTTTCTTTCGGCACAATATCACTAGCTGGAATCATATCCCATTGAATTTATATCATATCACTGACCGAAACAATTTCCCATGAGATTTATATTACTAGCCGAACTATTTCACAACGGTTTTATCTTATATCACTAGACGAAACCATTCTCCATCATATTTATATCATATCACAAGTTGAAACTATTTCCCATAGGCTTTATATCACATGTCTCACCACGGTGTACAATAATCAATGCACATAAGCAAGTTCGCACCATAAGAAAGAGACAACAATTCAAGCTATTCACGTCCATATTCGTGTTATCAATTATCTCATCAATCAATTAAATAGGGTCCACAACAAGATAAATCACAAGTTTTAATGTTAAAACCCATAAATAATCAAAGAAAAGTGAAATTTTAGGATCACAAAAACTTATTTTAAAAGATTTAGCACAAGAAATATCTTCAAAATCGCCTCCAAGGGTTTTGCCAAGCTCAAAATGGAAATGGAGTTTGATGTTGCAAAAAGGACCATGGTTACACAAAAGAGAACCCTAATAGAACTTAGACATCACGATTGTTATTCGGCCTTCGCAGAAGTGAAGGTCATGATTGTGACACTTCCATCAAAAAAGCAAAGGACAAGTCAAGTGCAACCTTCACAATTGCGATAAGGTTTTCGCTAACGTGACCATCACGATCAAGAAGACTTTTTCGCATTTGTGAGGCCTGCAACACTAGAAAATACAACCATCACTCAAAACATCAAAATAAACCTTGAGATTCATTTAGAACCCGTACACACAAATCATATATAAATATTGACTTTACAAGATGTTATAAACTCAATGGAACTATCAAAACACGAATATGAGGTCTCTTGACTCGATATCCATGGGAGTCACAATAAACTAACACAATGCCTAAATCAAGCTCGGGACCTCTAGAAAATCAACCAAGACCTCTCCTAGACCTAAAATCATCCCCAAAATTCAATGAAATCTCAAAATTCCAATTCAAGCATCCAAACACGAATATTCACCAAGGTCAACCCAAAGGTTAAATTTTCACAATTTTCCAACTTGGGGTCTCAAATCCTTAAAAAGACTTTCAATATGAAACCAACAATTCTCACAAACAAAATTCCACATTGTGAGATTGATGGAATCAATAAAATTCTATTCCGACACTCGAAACTCCAAAAGAAACTGAAAACCACTTTTAATAACTTTAGTCTTTCAAACTCAAATCTTAAAAAAAAATCAAAACTTACAACTCAAAGGTCGAAATCAAATTTTAAAAGTCAATTCCAAACAACTTGGGGTCAATATTGGGAGGGGCAAATTGTAAATTTATAAAATTTCTAAAAAAGACCAACTGGGTCATTGCAGATGTCCATTGTGCTTTACTTTTGACTTAATATCTTCTACAATATTCGGATAGTTGTAAAGAAGGATGATAATAATATTATAAAGAACTTTAAGTCTCAGCTTAGTAAAAATAGAGTAAAGGATCTTGCCCTTAATTTTTTTAGTTATGTGTAACATTTAGCCAAAAAAAGATTCATGTGATATCATTATATTGAGGTGGGGTCATATTTCAAGTTAACGTTAATGGTTAGATAAACGAGTTAGATTTCGAGGCTTGATCCCAAATCATGTGTATGAATAGAGTTTAGAGTTGATTCTCAAAGTCATGCTTCAGTTCGAGAGTTGAGATTTTTTCCGAAATTAGGTTACTAGTTTGGGTCCCAAATAAATTGTTGATGTTTGGGTCGAATTCAATTTTAGAAGTTGGGTCCTGAGTAAGGTGTCAGAGTCAGGTTTTGGGTCGAGAGTTGAAGTCAGATCCTATATCAGGTGTTTAGTTGGATCTAGTTTAGGTGTCAAGCCATTCTAGGGACGGGTGTGAAGACAGGGGTTCGAGTTGGGTGTCGGAGTTGTGTCCCAAATTGATCGTCAATGTCGGAATAAGATATAATTTGGATGTTGGGTTCCAGATTAGGTGACGGGGTAAGGCCCTCATTTGAAAGTTGAGTCCAATTCTAGTATTGGTTCTTAATTCGAGTGTCACGTCATAATTTAAATATAATCAAATCAAGGTTTAGAATTTGGGTTTCAAACTGTTCTCAGTTTGAAATAAGGATGAGATATTGATTTGAAGTAAAGACCTGGGTCGTGAGTTAGGATCACGTTGGGTTGAGCTTGGATTCTGAATCGAATATTGAGGTCGTGTCTTGGTTCAAGTGGAAGGTCTTGGTTTATAATTCGAGGTCAAATCAAGGTTCGGAAATTGAATCTCAAGTTCAAAAGTCAGGTCTCAGGTTTGAAAGTTGGTTTTCGAGTTCAAAATCCAAGTCTTAAGTGTGTTCGAATCCTGGTTTGGAAGTCGAGATCGGGTCGCAATTTGGAAGTAGGGACCTGGGTTAGGTGACGAGGTTAGATTCTAGATTGAGTATTGAGTTTTTAGGTCATGTCAAGGTT